ACAATGACAGTGAGAATTCTTCCATGACAGTTTTATATTTCAGTGTCCATAAGGCAGATTTTTGTAGTTAATCATATGAAAAGCAATGGCTCACACATCCTGCAAATCCAAATTATCTGGCAAAAGTCAGAATGAAAAGTATGTTGATTTCTCTATTGGCCAATAACCAAAATTATTTCATCTAGGGCAAGAAAGGGTGAGCGCAAATGTAGATCATTATTTTCACTAGTTTTGGTATTTTTTCCTCTAATTTGGTAATTAAGATCTCTGCTATTCTCACAACAAAAAGAGTGACTGACCCTTGATAGCAACACCTGAAGACAACTGCTGCTTCAAGGCAAGGCAGTATTCTTAATGTCTGTGAGAAGAGTCTCAGCTGGATCAAGATTCAAGTATTCACTCTTTCACATATTAACATGTTTTGCTTACAATCAGAGTTTATGAATTAATGATTACAAAGAAACTAATTCTGATTTTGACTGGTTTACCTAACAGATCAAGTTTCTATTAGCAGAATAAATGATACTCTAACTGAAATATGACAATAAATTAATAAATTCAGAAAGGATGCATCATTGTTACTGGATCAGTACAAGCAATTGACTTTACCTTGCATTTATATTTACAAATTCTGAAAATAAAGTAACAAGGGACATTATAGCATCAAATGTCTTATAATTTAGTAGGAAAGCCCATCCTTATTTCCCAGGTATTTGCAAGGTTAATCTTAAGCAACACCAGGATACACGTATTGCCTTTGCTCTTATGGGAGTTTTCTCATCAGTTTTGTGGGAGATGATCGCTAAATGAAAAATACCCAGCTGGATGTTGGGAACTTGAACTTCGTGCTTGTTTAAAACAGCAGTTTTTGACATCTCATCTGCTCTGCCTAGGGTCATAGAGGTTATGAATATAACTTATGAATATAACTTATTAATATATAAAACGTTGACAAAGATCTGGAAATTTTAAGCATAATATTTGTGATGTGCAGAGCTCTTATGACCTTGTTGTATACATTAATCTTGCACTGATAAAAAATCCCACTCCACCTTATTGAAGTCAACTGGAATTACACTGCTATAAACTGTTACAGAATTTCACTCTGTGAATGTATCTAATTATCCTGCCTTATCCTATCTTTAGGATACTGTCTGGTTGGAGCAGTAGTTAAGAGGCACTAAGGGTGGATTCCAAAGCCCTTAAGTAAGAAGTTACATGGATACTTATGTAGCTTCAGGCCCAATAACAGTTTTTGTTCAAGCATTTACACTGCATTACTAATGACGTGTTTTAACTCTGCAGAGAGAAGCAGCTCCCTTGGACTAAGCCAATTCCTTGTTGTGTCTGTAAAATCATCCTGACAGTGAAAGGACTACAGATACAGGTCTGTTGTGGAGTCAAGCAGACAGACTTATGCATCAAAGGAGGAAGGCAATGAACATGGGTACACCCAGTCACCTTGGCCATGGTGGGAAGGGCACCTGGAAGTGCTGCAGAAACGTACCTTAACAGCTGAGGAAAGAGGTACCATTATGGACTGAGGAAAGGGAAACAATCACCATCAGAGGAAAGGTATGCCATTAGGACCCAAACTTGGGCTCCTCGATGACTCTGGAGAACTGACTTGTGGCTCAGCTGGGCCATGACTGACAACAAACAGAAGACAAATCAGCTCCCTCCCTGTGCAAATCTCACTCTTGTGTCTGACTGCAGCAGGACAGTGGGAATATTTGTTTTCCTTAGTTTTCTGCAGCACGGCAACCTGTGCTCTATCTTGCACAATATTGTTAGTTGAGGTCATTGCAGAACAGTGGCAGGCGATTGCCTAACTTGTGTATTTCACTGCTCTTTCCCATGTTCACCTAGTAGTTAATTGCCTGGCACTTGAGAGAGAAACACATAGGTTGCAGAAGGAAAGGGTTTGCAGCAGGTACAGTGAGTGTGCAGACCTGGTTAACAGTAGGGAAAAGCAGGTATTTCTTCTCTCTCCATGTGAAAAACTAATGGGAAGAATATGAATCCAAAGCCTTTCTTGTTAGATAGGTGACCAGTGCAATGGAGATGCTAGAAAAGAGTGTTTGCTGAATGCTGTAGATGGGTGCAAATTTTTTACCCACAAAAGCAGTACTTTTCAGTGGTAAGAGGTCTTTAATTTTACTTCTAATATATTAAAAAAAATCTTTATAGAAGAAAAAGTATGTGAGACGTAAGTCCAGTTTATCTAAAAAACTGCTTCAGAGAACGAATCAACAACAGTCTTAGCTCAGAAAAAATACTAAAGAAACAAACTAGACAGGAAGGATCACAATCTAGTATCCTTTTTATGGAAAGTGACACAAAAGGAAGATTGAAAGATGCCTGGGGATGAGGATTTTATGAATATTGAAATAAGATTAATATAATATCCCAGTGCTGTTGATGAAAAAAAAAAACCAACATGTAAGAAGTGGTTCACACAGTGTGAGAATGTACAGATTTACTATGAAAAAGAGACTATCTGCAGCACAAGCTTAAGGCATTAACACTTTTATTCTGCAAATTGCATACACTAAGTTGCTTTGTTTGTAGTTACATGGTGAGGTTAGGTCTGTGACTGTAGCAAAGTCATGGAGGCAGCCATAATGTGGCCATGGCAACATGAGTAAGCTGTATCTTCAACCTGCAGGAATGTGGGTGAGGTGTTATGGACACAGAGCAAAGAGAGACTTAAAAGATGAAAATTAATGCAGATGATGACCAACTGTGTTCCCAAAAGGAAACAATGGCATAACAGAAGGCCAAAAAAAAAGTTCAAAGTATTTATCAAACAACGATGAAGAAAATCAAAATATCACAAAAAATGAGCCATTGAAAGTGAAAAGAAAATGTAAGAGACACAGCTACTGTAGAGTGATAGCTCTGCAAAGCTCTCAGGTCTCCAAAGAAAGCTAGGGCCATATTATCAAAGATAATGCTCAAATTAATTGCTAGTTTAAAGTGCTCTGTCATAGAATCATAGAATCACAAGGTTGGAAACGACCTGCAAGATCATCTAGTCCAACTGTTGGCTCATTTTCAGCCGAGCACCAACCAACACCCCCAGGTCCCTTTCCTCTTCACAGTCACCCAGCCACTCATCCCCAAGCCTGTAGCGCTGCATGGGGTTGTTGTGGCCAAAGTGCAGGACCCGGCACTTGGCCTTGTTGAACCTCATTCCATTCACCTCAGTCCAGCAATTCAGTTTATTTAGATCTCTCTGAAGGGCCTCTCTACCCTCAGGCAGATTGACACCACCTCCCAACCTAGTGTCACCTGCAAACTTACTGAGGGTACACTCAATTCCCTCATCTAGGTCATCAATAAAGATATTAAACAAATGGAGCGCCCGGCAGCAGCCACTATCAGCTACTTATGGAAGGCTCAAAGAAAAAGAAGAGGATAAGCATTTTTAGAGACATCTTTCCCTTATGACAGTCCCCTGCCTTCTGACTTTCAGCCATTTAGGATATAAATATAATACATATATATATACTATATATTATCTATATATAAAATAATATATGTAATATAAAATCTATAATAAATGCTGCATTCAGAACACAGTTCTAAACACATTCTCTGCCTCACGGATTTGATCCTTTTTGAATTCAGTGCCACATTTACACTGTTTGTGCTCTTTGGAGTCAGGTGATTTCAACAGTCTACCTTTGCAAACGAGGCTGATGTACAATATAATCTCAAGCAGTTAGAAGTCATCAGGAGCTGACTTCCATTACAGATCAATATACTATAACTACAGTATAATGATGTGAACTTGTCATGGCATTTCTCTGTGATTGGTGATTATGATAACTAGCAATTCATTCTTCTCATTAGGGTTGCACAAAAATTCATAATCAAAATTAAAGTCCAGTTTTTGTCAGGAATTCTTTTTTCCACACACAATAAATGAAGATAATCCTGTCCAGGAAAATCATTACATGCATTAGATGGTTTGAATAGGGCATGCTTTCCAGAATATCACAACAATGGTTCTGCATCATCAGTGGCAGATTCCATCCATGTATCAAAATATATTCAGATTTGTAACAGAAAGCTTCATAAAGTTCAATGAACTACTGATAAAGATGGGATGCATAAACTAGAGAAGTACTTCAGAATCTTCTGCAAGGAGCAAATGGTAGAGAAGGCTGCCTTCAGCTAATAAAGAGGGCAACGAAGAATCACAGAATCACAGAATCATTAAGGTTGGAAAAGACCTCTAAACCCAACCATCCACCTATCACCAATATTTACCACTAAATCATGTTCCTTAGTACCACATCTACTCTTTTCTTGAACACCTCCATGGACAATAACTCCATCCCCCCCCTGGGCAGTCCATTCCAGTGCCTCACCACTCTTTCAGAGAAGTTTTTGCTAATATCCAACCTGAATCTCCCCTGGTGCACCATGAAGCCATTCCCTCTCAGCTTCTCTTCTCCAGACTGAACAAACCCAGTTCCCTCATCCACTCTTCGTAACATCTGTGCTCCAGATCCCTCACCAGCTTCGCAGCCTTTCTCTGGACATATTCCAAGGCTTACACAGTAGGCAAACTGCTTTTCTCATGAAGTCTCAGCAAAAGTTCCCTTGTTCATCCACACCGGTCTCACTTCTCTCCAGCCTATCTTATGGCACTCAGAGACAGCCTATTCATGTGCCTTTAAGACTTTCTTCTTGAGGATCATCTACCCTTCTTCCATGCTTTTGCCCTTCAGGACAGGCTCCCAAGGGACTCTCCCTAACAGTGTTCCGAATAGTTCAAAATCCACCCTCTGGAAGTCCAAGGTAGCAGTTTTGCTGCCCCCCTCCTGACCCTTCCTCTATAGCAAATGTCTGTAAGTTAGCTGCTCAAGCAGAATAAATATCTTACCACAATACTAAAAGTAACAACAAGAAGAAGCAAATCTGTAGATGATGAGATGTAACTGAGGACAAAGTCTTACTACTACATATATACTCACGACTGTAGTATATACCAAATGTCTAACTCTGAAATTATAGCTGTTAATAAGCAGATTTTATTTTTCTTCTGGCTTCTAGAGCAGTTCCATTTTTAACTTGGCTGTTGCTTTGAGAAAGGCTTTCTGGATGGTACCATCTGTCTGTCACCCGTTACTCTCAGTCATATGCAGTTGTGAGAATATGTCCTAGAACAGCAGAATATTGTATTACATTTAGTTTCTGAGCTCTTTTTTTTTCAGAAGAATATAATGTCTTGTAATCTATTCCTGCTTTCCTGGTAGTTTAACAGTTTTGAAAAACTGTATCATGTAAAACTGTGCTTGTAATTCTTTAACTTTAAAAAAGTCTTTTTGTCCACTTTTTATCTCGCTATTAACAGCAGTGTGATACATTTTATGTAAATGACTATGGCTTGAGTTTTGGATCCCATGAATGATACAGTCTCAGAATATACTGAGTAATAGAATACATAAATCTCCTTAGTATGCCAACTGTCTATTTCTATCTATATCCATGAATGAGCATCAGTAGTTCATAAAATCTGAGTAGTTCATTCTCCATTTGCAGAAGCAAATGTGCATCATAATACAAAGACAGCAATTTTATGAAGATTGTATGCTTTTACCTGTATATTGCTTTTTGTCTAGATGAAGCCCAGTTAGTACAAACTTCTTAGCACTGCAATCTGTAAAAGTCCTATAGCTAGGTTTGCTAGTCTGGTGTCTGTGCAATGCATAACATCTCATTAAATTTAATGGCATGGCTACATAAGCACTCCAGACTCATTGCATGATTTTATAATATCTGTTTAAAACAACTATTGCCCATAGAATTTCACAAAAGGACTTCGCGAAAAATGCACAGGAGAGTTTAGCAGAGTGGACAACTTTGTGCTTTCCAACAGAAATATGTAGGCTTGGACCTCTATTTCAGTATACCTGAATTTTACTGAGACTTGAATTTGGATCTACAGTTGGATACTCAGGCTGATCAACAAAAGAGAGCTTTTCCCTACAAAACTGTTGCACCTACAGGAGCACTGAATCAATGATTTCATTTAGTGATAGTAGTGCAAATTCCTTTGTGTGCATGTCTGAAATCATCAAACACTGCAAGGAACTGACTTAATGAATTTAAGACATATTAAAATCTCATCAAGGATGTACACAAGGGATTTTATTATTTTATAACTACATTTTAAAACATATATTTAGATAAACAAATGCAACTTCATGTACACATGAGCAAATTTATACTGAAGTCATTCTTTAAGTCTTTTGGCCTGTTTTCAAGAGCTGCTATTTCATACTTAAATTTACTGAAATTCTGATAAAATTCTTTTTGCTTCATGCAGTTGTTTGCTTCAGACACAATGAGAGAAGGAGCACAACTAAGATTTGTATCAGCCGTCATGCTTTCAGTTTCTTGTAAGTTTTAATAATTAATGCAAATTAGCAGATGACCCCAATTCTTTTTAAACTACTGTAGTAAAAAATATGATTTTTTTAGTCCCCCAGTATGGCACCAAATGTTTCTGCTTCTGGTCCCAGTGCTTCCTTCTTTCTGACTTACACTTTCTGATTTATTTCTATTCTTCTACAAGTTGAAAGCAATTGTAACTGTAGAAAGAAATACAAATAAGTAATTTCCATTTCAGGCTTAAGCATGCAGGCAAAGGACTTGAGTTCACTCTGATTCCACATATATCCCATGGTTCAGAAATTGGACTGATTCAGATTTCACTGGGGTCTTGCTTACACAGGAGGACTCCCCAGTATATCACTTCTTGTAAGTATACCACTTCCTCAGGTCTTAATGTCTAAAAAAACACACTCGTTCCAAAGTCAGAGTATCACCCAGGAACAAGAATTTAAGGGGTATTCAGTTATAGTCACACATAACTGTTGGCAATGTTTCAGTAGTGCTTTCTAATGTACCAGTTGCAATCACCATATTAACGCAGTACACAGCAAATATTTCCCAAAACTTGATGGATGTAGAACCTGGGAAAATCCAAGGAAAGCAGGGAAAAAGTCAATGCTTTCATCACTGTGCTATGACCCTGAAATAACAAAGTGATCTTAAACAAAAATCCTACAATATATAACTCCTAGTATATCTTAGAGAATGGCTCTCAAAGAACACAGTGCCAAGAAATTCAAAGCTAATAGTCATTGTCAGTATGTTCCAAGTGTAAGATTTCACTTTTATCCTAAATCTGACTTGTTTCTCTCTGGGCATATGAGCAGAACACACAACTCTCTGACCTCTACAGACAACCAGTGAAACATGGAAATGTGGGATTTTCAGTGTATATGAATAGTGCAGCCTCTCCCAAGTAGTGATTCAGTTTCTCTGAAAGACCTTTGGAGATACTAATACCTTGGGTTCTCAAGGGATCTTAATTTCCCATTCCCAGAAATTCTCTCATTCTATCATACAGTCACACATCTGTCTATAAAGTTCAATGTTTAAAACATCACTGTCTCCTTACCCTCACTACTCTTGTTTCAAAGATTATTCCAAGCCCATGTCCAAGAAATTCATTAAAACCTTTTTTCTCATTTACAATTCACAATAAGGCCTCACAATTGCCTCATAATCCTTTGATTCTGTTATTCTTCATCTTCTTCTCTCTCTATAGTATCTATTTAAATCTCCTTTAATTTTAATTTCATTTTCTTTTCTTTGCAGCCATTCCATTTTTATTTTCTCTTCATGAACGCATATGAAGACCTGCATGCAACACTACGAAGAAGGTCTTAGTGCTCTGTACAATGCAACATTCGCATACCCATCATGTTTGCTTCTTAGAGAACAGGATTTAAGAACTTCTCCTTTAATACACTGCAGTCTCATGCCAGCCAGTACTTTACCAGCCTAATCAGTTCTTGTCGTCACCCACATCATTTGTACTTCAGCAATAATTTGAAATCACCCTTCAACAAGTGCTGCTCTCATGTGTGAAAATTCAGTCTATTGCATTGTCCCTGTCTAAAAGGCCAAATATCTCATGCAAAAAGGTTTTAGTCTGACACTACATTTGATAAAACTCAGATTATCTCATTTTTCATTTTTCTTCAGGTCTTTTTCCTTCCAATATTTTCCAATACACAATACAGTGTTGTATTCAAACCAAAAGAGTTCTCAGAGTTATCTAAGTGATTTTTCTTCTCCTGTTTGTTAGAATGCAAAAAGAAAGGGAGATAGAAAATATCTTGACATTAGTATATTTATTCTGCTGATAAGGCATGGATTTGTAGTTGGCTGAAAAGAGACATCTTTTATCAAATTTCTGGCTTCTTTCATAGTAATAATACACTGCAATCAAGGTTTCCAAGGTTGCCAAATCTTCAGCTTTTGCAAGAGCTGCCTGCCTATGTGCCATGTTCATAACAAATATAAAAGACCTTACAGAGAATCTCATTTCAGTGAAGTCTCATTTTTCAACAAAACACTTCATCAAAAATATTAATCAGACCTTGCCACAGATTTCCTTTATGATATAGTCTTTTCCATCATCTCTATAGTACTTAAGCTTTCTTTCAGACAAGTTTAACTGGCTGAATTTATGTTCTGTTTGGCTTCTCATATTGTGACCGTAACCTTGCTCTCTAAGTTGTTCCTTAATCATTTAAGTTTTGGGTAAACACAGATTAGTGTCACTGGTATATTATGTAAGTGCATTTATGGGGTAGTATGTCACTACAAGACACAGAAGTCTTACATAAGAGTCTTTCTTCATATAAATTCTCTTAATTTCAATAATATTCACAGAGATTGATGAAAAATGTGAAGGTTTTATTAATATGTTTTTTTAACATGTTTTCAAACAATTTTGCAATATACTAAAGCTCACAGAGGATTAATGGTAAATGTGGAAAAACAGTTAAAGACTTCTTACTTCTCTATTTCAATGAATACTTGTTACTGTATTTATCAGGCTATTTAAGATGTTTATCATGTTGTAAGTAGATCCATTTACAAACACACAGTTTAAGCATACCAGGAAGTACTGTATCACAAAATATTGCACTAATGATTCCCTGTTCCACAAAAGGCTACAAGTGTTACAATTAATTCCTACTTCAAATACAAGAGTGATGTTGCTTTGAAGATTTCCAGTGATACATCCCTTACAATTCTTGCTTAGTTGATTTTTCTTATCCCAAGACATTGACATTTAATTTCTAGCTGTGACTTTCAGCATCAGATCATTTTATATTTTGCTTATTAGGTATAAAAGCTACCTTCTGCTGTATGTTCTTCACAGACAGTAATCAAATCACTCCTATATCTCTACATCAGTGGGCTCTTTGCATCAATGTTTCTTTAACCATTTTGTGTCTGTCCCAAAGCAGTTGTTTAAGAACTTTCTCAAGAGCATATTTTGAATGGCCAGTATGTTGGTAGACAACATTCTTCCAGTGATCACGTCAGTGCCAGCTCCACTGGTAACATAACCTTACATTACTTCTTGTTTCATTTCAGCTACTGCATCATAGTGCAGATATTTGTACAGTTCATTATTCCACACAACACTTAATTTTTTTCAGACTCATTACTTCTCATGCTATTGCCCCACCTTCCATAAGGATGGACTATATCCTTTGTAAGATGCCTGGTTTTTGTGCTTATAGCTGGTGTATCAAATAATTCATGTCACTGTCCCGATGTTCTGTCTTTACTGTAATTCAGCACTCCCTAACAGTTTAAGAAATGCGCAGATTTTATCAGTAACTACTTGAGGATAATTTGTCATTATAGTAAATAATCTTAAAGCAGTTTATAGCCTATCATATGCGTGTCCAACCTTTTGGCCTGCCTGGGCTGCACTGAGCAAACAGGAATTGTCTTGGGCCATGTATTAAATATATTACATAGTTAATTATATAAGAGACAAAACATTTTTCATGTATTTTTGATTAAAACAAAAATCAGAGTAACAAAAACATAAAAGTAGTGGGTAAAGTGCAGTATCCCTGCATTTGGGATACTAATGTATCAATGTCTGGTTCAATACAAGTAGCTAAAGTTCTTAGTGGTTCTCAAGATGGTTGTCAGAGATCTCTAATGAAATGTTACTCTTTCACCTTTGACAATAATTGCTCACAAATATATGTACTGCCATAAAGTGATTACAAGAGTAAGGCATGACTGTGAAGCAAGGGATATTCTTCTCTGT